CAATGTGCTATTATTGTTTGTATTAGCGAAGTGGTCCAGATCTGAAATGTTCTATTTTTCTATCTTGGGGCTGTAAAGTTTTACCCGAAAAAGTTATCTCTTTAAGCGCAATAGTGCCAAGACACACCTGCTGACGTCATCTCGCAACGTTTTTCGTGCCTGCTATTACGCCTACTGAATGCGGCGCTAAAAAAATGCTAAGACGGATGTAAATTTGAGATGACTTGTAAGCTGCGAAGTAAAAAGCAAACAAACAAACAAACAAACGAACAAACAACGGAAGCAAAGCGAAGTGGGCTAGCTTTTCTAACTGAACAAAACAGGATGGTGATATTTGCCTCCTATAGTACGATTTTCTTTCAAACGTTTGCTCGGTGTACTGCTGTCATTTTCTTTTTCTTCCTCATATTTCTTGATCACGATTGTCTGCCCCTGCGAAATTGGGTGTGACCTTACCGAGCCCTTGTAAACAACTTAATTGGACACATATTATGTGCTTTCCAAATTCTACTATAATCTGTCACTCAGCTGTTTTTTGTGGTTAAGTTTGCTTGGCGTGCTCCGCCGTTTCGTTTTCAATTATGATTCATTTATATCTTTAACACATTTTCATTTGACTAGAAGTATGACTATTGGTCTATTTATAACTATTCTGTTTGATTTTATTCTTTAAAAAAAAAGTTCCCGCATGTCCAGGATACGATTAGGCCCCTACGGTCCTTTTTGGAGGTCCATGTTGTGTTAAGGTGTTTGGTTAGGCAATGAGTATTTTGCATTCCAAACGTTATCCAGCGAGAAGCTGTTACTATCGCAATGCGGATGAAAAACAACCAACCCAGTACACCTGTTTGTACTCCTCATTGACCCCCCCCCCCCGAAATTACACACAGGCACACAGACACACACCTTTTTTGTATTGGGGTAAGATGACGTACACACTTGAATCCCCCCCCCCCCAACTTCCCCCTCTTTTCCAAATCTTCTCCCCCCCCCTCCTTTTCGTGTCATCTATTAGCGTCCCCATGTTCTCCCAACTAGTTCTGCCTCAGTGATGGTGGAGGTTTTCTTACCTCTTCTCCTCTTCTGTCCCTGCTTCAGACCCACCAGACCGCATGCCTCGCACACAATAGCATCCTCCACCTTTTCTCTGCCATCTTTTGATCTCTATCCATCCCCCATCCCGTGCTTTCAGCCGGTTCTACACGGACAAAAGCCCTTCCCTTCTAATTCTTCTCTCTCGCTTCTGGTAAGTTTGAGGTCTTCGACACTAAACTTTGGCCCTTGACCTTTCAGTGATTTCACTCTCCCCTTCCCGGGGTTTTGATACTTTATAAGTGGGTGGTTGGCGGGTGATCTGGT